GTTTGTGCTGCTGAATGATTTAACTGTTATTTTGTTTTTCCTTGTGTGACTCTCTTACTGCTCATTATTACAATTTCACGACAAAAAAAAATATTGAATCATTGAAAAAGGGGAAGACACCGTCAAATTTACCCAAAGGCAAAGCGGAATAAAATGCGCAAATCTATTACACTCACTTACCATCACCACCATCAGCATCAGCGTCCTCCACATTTGAGTGATATGTGTGTGTGAGCCAAAGAAGTTTACGCACACCCAGCCGTAACCCGCCACCTGATGGAAAATGACTACGGGCTAATACCACACGGACGCTTTTCCCCCTCCCTACGCTGTTCTTCAAAAAAGCAAAAAAACAAAAAAAAACAGCAACTGATCAATTGCCGGTTTTGAGGCACCAATTATCCTCGATTTTTACCACCTCTTTATACAGTAACACAGTTTTCCTCCCATGGTGTTTAACTGTTGCACCTTCTTCGCCTTTCACCAAACCCTTCGTTTGATATTCGCCGCCTTTGGCTCACGCGATTTTCGGACAATTGTAAGTTAGGGCAGCCTGTGGCAATCAGTAGGAGTGGCCAGCGACGTAGAGCGACCGCGATTCCTTGTCATCATCGGCGCGGTTGTAGCGACCGAGCTGCGCAAGAGAGTTCATCTTCGCGCGGTGCATAAACGCACGGCGACCAGCCGCGATGCCGGCATCCTTGCCGCCCCACGCCTTGAGGGCACTCGACTGCAGAGCGCGTGCGTACGAGAAGGTCAGCTTCCACGGACGTGGTAGACTGCAACAGTTCATGGCGTTCAGGTACTCCGTGGCCTGCACTTCACTGAGACCGCCCGACAGGAAGGTCACGCCGGGCAGGGCTGGGGGAAGCACACGCGCGAGTGTTGACACGGTGTACTGTGCCACCTCCTCGGGCGTCGCCTTCTTCCCGGACTCCGCGCCAGGCACCACCATGTTGGGCTTCAGCAGGCATCCCTCCCACACCACACCGTGGCGTTGTAGGGCAGACACCACCTCCGCCCACACGTGCTGCGAGACACGCTGGCTCGTCTCAATGTCGTGCACACCGTCAATCATCACCTCAGGCTCCACGATGGGAACAAGACCACTCATTTGCGAGAGCACAGCATACCGGGCGAGTGTCTCAGCGTTAAAGCGCACAGCTGCCTCCGAAACAGTGCCGTTCTGAATCTTGTACACGTTACGCCACTTGCAGAAGCGGCAGCCCATGGCGTAGTATTTCTGTGCACGCTTCATGTAACCATCAAGACCCTCCGTCATCTGCTCACCCTCGGCGCCCTCCACCAGGGGGTTCAGACCCATGTCAGTCTTGATGCCGGGCACCACACCCTTGCGCTGAAGAAGTTGCACAAAGCTCTCGCCAGTACTTGTCTTCTGATACACCGTCTCATCGTGCAGAATGACACCGCTGATGTACTGCTCCATCCCCTCACATTCAAGCATCAGCGAACGGTACTGGCGGCGATGTTCCTCCGTGTTGCTCAAGCCAAACGGAGCGAAGCGCTTCGCACAAGAACCAATGGACTCATCGGCAGCGAGCAGCCCCTTGCCGGGAGCCGTCATCTTCCTGGCGGTCGCAACAAGCTCCGCCTCGTACGGCGTCTTCAGGCGGTTATACGCCGGCAACTGCGTCTGCAACACCTCCACACGCTTAGCCATAATTGTTTGTGCTGCTGAATGATTTAACTGTTATTTTGTTTTTCCTTGTGTGACTCTCTTACTGCTCATTATTACAATTTCACGACAAAAAAAAATATTGAATCATTGAAAAAGGGGAAGACACCGTCAAATTTACCCAAAGGCAAAGCGGAATAAAATGCGCAAATCTATTACACTCACTTACCATCACCACCATCAGCATCAGCGTCCTCCACATTTGAGTGATATGTGTGTGTGAGCCAAAGAAGTTTACGCACACCCAGCCGTAACCCGCCACCTGATGGAAAATGACTACGGGCTAATACCACACGGACGCTTTTCCCCCTCCCTACGCTGTTCTTCAAAAAAGCAAAAAAAACAAAAAAAACAGCAACTGATCAATTGCCGGTTTTGAGGCACCAATTATCCTCGATTTTTACCACCTCTTTATACAGTAACACAGTTTTCCTCCCATGGTGTTTAACTGTTGCACCTTCTTCGCCTTTCACCAAACCCTTCGTTTGATATTCGCCGCCTTTGGCTC